GGGGTTGGAGGATGGGAGCAGGGAGGGAAGACTTGGGGCTGCAAGGTGACCCGGGGAAGAGTGAGGACCCCTGGTGAGCACCCCAAGTTTAACGCATTCCTTGCAGCGGGGTGATGTGCGCGTCCGGCCCGAGGGCATCCGAAGAGGCTGGAAGCGCGGCACTCGGGGCTGGGGTGGGCTGCCGCATCTCGTTCCCGCTCACGGGGCCGGTCACACCTTCTCCCGCCAGGGGAAAACTTTCCTGGCTCCGGCCGGCCTGCCCCGATGCGCCCGGTAACCGAGAGCGCCACTCCTGGCGCGGGGGACCTGCCGGTCCAGGCAGGACGCACTGCCCGCAGCCCCCGGGGCCGGGCTCTCGGAAAAAATGCCGGTCTGTTGCTTGTTGATGAATTAATGCCCGCAGGTCATTTTACTGATTAGAGGGAAATACCCGTTTCGGTTTTCTCGCGTTTCTGTGTAATTAATGAGGAAGACAAAGAATCGCCTCATTAGAAACTTGTTTGGAGGCTTTGCGGTTTCCGTTGCGGTACAGAAGACATGGACAGTCCCACATAACACTCTAATTTAATCGGACGCAAATGAAACCTTTCGTGGTGTTTTGAAAGCAGAGGGAGGAAAGCACTTGGGGGAAGGTGTTCTTGGTACTCCAGGGAAGAGAAGGGACCCCTCATATATAAATTAATTCTCCTGAAAGCCCCAAAGGTAAGTGGTAGTATTTCCAGTTTACATGTGAAGAAAATTGGGTTGAAACAGTAAATAAAATTTCCCAGCTGGATCCCCTAGTTAATAGTGGGGAGGCGGGGTCTGGAAACTAGGACTGTGAGGCTGTGGCCCTTACGTCCATCACAGGGGGAAGCATCACCAAGAACGCAGGCAGGTAAGGCACGGCCCGGAAAGAATACAGTCCTGGTGCAGGAGAGGCTGCCATGAGCTGGGTGCCCAGCAGCAAAGAGTTTTGTTCTAATCAGCAAGATCCTCCAGTGTTTATGGAAGATGAGGGGATACTGACAGGTGACAGGGGAAGACAGAGTTGCTTCCAGTCTGTTTCCTTCTTTTCAATATGGAAAGACCAGACCAAACCCCTTTAACAGGGTCTGGAAACTGAATCTGGGCTGGATGGTTCAAAGCCCAAATAACAAGCATCGCAGAGCAGTGAAGTGTTCACAGTCCCTCTGAGCCGGCTTGAGCAGTGGGAGCAGAGCCAGCAGACTTCAAACAATGAAACACTGAATCCTGGCAACCCTCTAGAACAAATTCTTAAAGAAGCTAGCTCAAGACCACCTAGGAAAGGATTTACAAATTCAATTTATGCCAAACTAACTCCTTTTTCTTTTCTGGCAGCCTCCTGGGCTGTAGTGATTGGGACATGCCATAAACACCAGTTTTCAGCTGTGGGTTGTGACTCATTAGTGGAATGATACCAGTATAGTGAGTCTCACCAGCATTTTTTAAAGCATGAAATTCAATAGAAGGGAAGAGAACACCAGAGTGCACTGTATGCGCAAGGGCAGATATTGTTTTCTGAATGTGTGTGTGTTGTTCTGCCTTGTTTATCCTATTGCCTCTGCAAGGGTGTGCCTACATATCCCTGGTTGCCCCCTTTGTTTCTTCTGGAGGAACCCCGTCTGCTGACAGTGGGTCATCTTTTACCTTGCAAATACCATCAGCACCTTCTGGAAAATACAGTCCTCCTCCACCCACCTTCTCCAGGCCCCCAGATGTCGAGGTATTTTGGTCAATCAAAATCCATCTCTGAACCCTTTATTTTTGACCTTGTGATGACTTTGGTGTGATCACAACTTGGCTGGATGATTTCTAACCCACAGCTCCCTTTGGTCCTTGTAGCTTGGTGGCTGTGGTTGTTTACATTTCACAAACCAAGGTTCCCAAAGCTGGGGACCTACACATAATTCAGTCACTGGCCCCCTCCCCATGGTGTTAGATGTAAAGTGGGTCCTACTTTTGCAGAAGCATTTCTTGAAATCTCATACTATCCCAAAGGATAAGGCGCAGGAGGATGCACATACCCCAAGGCTCTGTCTCTGTCCCTGCACCTCCCTGGTGTCACTCACCAGGAGAGAGACATAGAGGGGACATTGATCAGAGTTATGGCAACCATAAATCTGGTTACTCTCTGAGACCCATTTTTGTCTCTGGACAAGAGATCGTTTATAGAATGTTGAGCTCACAATAGAGTTGAAGATCTCATTCTGCATTTGCATTCACAGAATCAGTCAAGAAAGTAACGGGTCGCGTGGCGCTGCTAAGCAGCATTTCATGGAAGGGAAGAAACCTGCGATCTCAGTGGCCCACCAGGCCTGCACGAACCATAGTGTGAAGCAGCTGCTCAATAGCCAGTGTGGGTTGCAGTGATAAGAATGGGCCTTTTAAAAAAATAGACATTTGCATGGGGCTTATTATGTGCCAGGCACAGTTCTGAGTGTTTCACAATTTGGTCTCAATCCTGTTGCACCTCCATGAAGTAAGGAACTGTCACCATTTCCACTTAACAGATGGCGAGGCTGAGGGACAGAGGGATTAGGTCATTGGTCCAAGATGACAGAGCCAGTAAGTAGTAGAGCTGGGATTAGAACCCGGGTGCTTAGCCATTGCCCTCTACCCCCAACCTGTGGCATCTGGAGCAAAGGGGCTGGGGTCCACTCTACTCAGGGGCCCATCCTGGGTGGCTCCTTTGCAGAGGACAGAGATTAACTTCAGAGGAGCCAGAGGAAGGTGATCTGGGTCTGAATACCGGGCTGTGTGAGGAGCAGAGAACATTTCACCTGGCAAAAAGGAGCCTTGGCCAATTCTGAGGCCATTCCTCAGACACCTGAGGAAGAGGAAGTAGGTTTATTTCCAGAGGCAAGTCAACCCAATGCCAGGTGACCTCCTGTCAGGATTGTAGAGAGGATTCCCCACTGGGTGAAGGGGGAGTTGAATTTTATGTCTCAGAACACCCCTTTTAATGCTCAACTTCCTCAATTTTATTAGCTCTACAAGAGTAAAATGAACTTGAAAATAATTGGAAATGAACAATCTAGCCTAAACATTTCTGTGTGTGTATAAAAAAAATTGGTTACTCAGTCAAAGTTTTGATTGAGGCACCCACTCAAGTTATGTGACTTTGTAAAGGAAAGTGCTAGACTAGCAAGAAGAAATTTCAGTGTAGATATTTGAGAACTTTTCCCAACTCCTGGACTCCGCTGGCCCCTTCAAGGATACGGAGATTGAGAAAGGAAGCTTTGTGAAAGGGATTTCTTCAGAGACCTCCGTGGTCACTTTCTTCATCCCAAACTTGGTGTGGGGGCCGATGTCATGGGACCATTAGTTGAGCTGGACATACATTTGGGGCTCACGTGGTGGCCCGGGTAGCAGGCTCACCTGCCTTCCCAGAGTTTGTCAGGCAAAGGATGCCTGAGGATTTCCTAAGGACTTGGTGGGACCCTGTGGAAAAGATAACTGGCCTGGGGCCAATCCAAGTTCAGCCCAGAAGTGAGGGCACCCCAGCAGCTAGTGTCCAGAAATTTAGAGGCTAAGATAGGAGTGAGCAGTCAGTTGAAGGAGAATGAATACCACTCAAGCACCCATAAATAGAGGATGTAAAGACAGTTCAGTCTTTGATCTTGGAGGGATGAGTTGCTGCCAGCAGTTGTGCATAAGGTAGAGAAAGAAAAGGGGTCCATCGCCCCCCAGTCCCTACAGGGGACGAGCATGCAAGCAATCTCCTGGCATAGGCAGGAGATTTAATGTTATAACCAGGTTGGAGGGGTTTTTTTGTTTTTTTTTTTTAATTTCCCAGACTGCACATTTTCATTCTTTTGGGACTTGGAAGTAGTTGCATGAGCAGAAAAGTCATGTTATTCCACCCAAGCATTCGTCTGAGGGCAGGAAATGTGAATCCACTGAATGCATTTTAAGGGGCAGCAGAAAAAAACCATAATATTGACAGGTGATCAGGTCCCACATTTGTACCAGCTCAGAGTGTGCAGTTCTCTACACTTCAGGGGAAATGGTAAAGAGTTGCAGTCTGCACTTGACGTGCTGTGTCCTTCCAGACAAAAGAAGATTTCGAGGTAGGAGATTTAGAAAAGGGAAGAACGCATTTACTTGACAAGAGTGCAACAGAATCGGGCTTCAGCAGACTGGCTTGTCGAATAAAAACGCAATGAAGACATGAAGGAAAATACTCCATAAGTTACCAGAGTTCTCAAATGCACGTCTGTCTGCTGTTACGGTTAAAAACGATTTTCTTGCACGATGATCCCATTCCCCAAAGTCATGACTTATCTTCAGACGTCCCTAGGGCAAACACTCAGGGAAAGAATTTTTTTTAGGGAGTCCAGGTTTATTGGACGCATTCCAAGTTTTATTATTTTGGAGACCAACTTCCAGACAGGATGGTCATGTTATTTTTGGCTTATTTCAGGGTACAGAGTGATTTTTTTGTCTTGACTAAGTAT